TGCACATGGTGCGATTTATTTTCCTACTTTTTCTTTTAATCATTGCTTTAGTTCATCTGCCCGGTGAGAAAACAGCCTTAAAAAACAAGGGTTTATGTCCTGGAAAGAGGCTGCCAGGGCCAGGAGCGCCGCGAGCACAGGTGTTTGCTCCATGCCGTGCATGTCTGATGGCTGAGGTCGTGCCTGGAGGCTGGGGGACCGGGAGCTGAGTGTGGGGAGTGGGGTCAGGCAGCCTGGAGACAACAACCAGACACTAATCCTCAGAAATAATCCTGGCTGAAGCCACCCAGGAGCATTGCGTGGTGGTGCAAGGGGGATGTGGTGGGATGAGTGATGCTGCCATGGGAGCGGGAGTGGGGAATTGCTGCTCTAAAACATCCTGTCATGAGACTGGGGCTCACAGGGGACATCCCTGTGCTCTGTTATCCCTTGCTATCCCTCCTTTGCTGGGGTTATTGGTCGTGGAGCAGCAATGTGCTGCTCCAGCTCAGCTTGGTTGGACACAGCTTAGGGGACAGCTCAGGGGACCTGCAGCCAGAGCAGCAGCGGCACATTTTTGGTGTTGGAAGAGGCTGCCCAAATTATACAGCTCAGCTCAGGGGGCTGCATGCTGAGCCCCACAGCTCTAGCTGCACCCTCCGCCAGGCTGCAGGGCAAGCAGCAAGTTCTCCATTTCCCTGCTCACCCAGCTCTTCCACGGAGCAAGGAAGCCTTGCCAGCTCCTCTGAGAGCCGGTCGCTGAGGACGCGTTTCTGTTCTTCATGCTCTTTTTCCTTTTAATCCAGTTTAAGAAACAGAAGCAGATGAAAGCAGCTTGGATATTAGCTGCTCATGGAAGAGCTGTGAGGCAGGGAGCCGGGGGATGCTTGTGGCTCTACTCGGCCTTGGGGCTGTGTTGGGGGCACCCTGCCCTCCCCAGGGACATGGCTGTAGCCCTGGGCACTGCGAGTCCTGGTGCTGGCTGTGGATGTCCCATGGGTTGGGCACCCAGGACTTCTCCACCGCCTTCCCATGTGCAAGCACACAGGAATGCACAGACGGCTCCGCCGCTCGCCCCTTATCTCCAGAGCAGTCTCAGCAGCATGCAGCCGGGCTGAAAAATCCCGTGGCAGAACAGCGGTGACCGGGCCACCGCCGTGCGGGGGACACGCCGCGGGCTGGGGTCCTGCACCCGCGGTGACTGCGCACGTGCTCAATCTTGTCTCCTTTCACGTGGAATTAGTGTGACACAATTAAACCCTCTCGTTAGACAGCATTATTTACTTAAAAGGAAAGCCGGGGCCGGACGCGGGGCCCTGGCAGCCCGGCGTTTCGCACATCATTATGTTCCCTTCGCAGCTTTGAAGTGGCGGGGCCAAGGCAGCTCCGGCTCCCCACGGGCTCGGCGCAGGAGGGCACCCAACAGCTTGTGCCTGGCCTGGGCACCCAGCCCCAGAGGGCCCTGCCTGCTGTGCCGCCAGCTCCAGCAGCGAAGGAGCCTCCAAAACCCCGGTGCCCTCCATCCCGCAGTGCCCTGTCCTTGGGGTCTTCCCCCAGAGCCGCAGGATGGGACGGAGAGCAGGGCTGGAGGCGAGCGCAGCTTTGATGCCCCGGCTGCATTTACAAACGACGTGCAATATCCTGTTTCTCTTGGCACACACAGGGGATGGAGCAGCGGACTGTGTCGGCTTGCTCACCGTGCCAGGCCTGCCCGGGCAGCACCAAACCCACGTGCTCCTTCACCTCTCCCTGCTCCCAGCGCCTATTCCACCTCTCCTTCCTCCCTGCTCTGCCCTCGCCGCTCTCCCTTTTTCTCTCACCCATCTCCACCCGTGGCACGGATCCCTCCATCCCTCCCCTGGCTGGCAGGGCGCCTCGTGCCCCCGGGTGCCCCCATGTCCCCGTCCCACCGCGGGGACCCTCAGCAGGTTCCTCGCGCCGGCTCCAGCCCCGGCGGACGCTCCCCGCCGCGCTGCGGGTTTCCGCCAGCCGCCGCGTCTCAGCCGCCGCTGCCAAATGTTTGGGGAGAGGAGCCAAGTCAGGCAGGCGGGAGATAAATCTGAGCTCTCCTTGGCTGCGCTGGGGCTTTGCTCTTGATTAATTGGAGGCAGCGGTTCTCCTCGTGCTCCGATCCCCCCGCCGAGGGACGGGGAGGCCGGGTTCGCCGCCCCGGGGCCGGAGTTTGTCCCGGCGGGGAGCTGTGGCCGTGTTTGCAGCGAGGGAAGGTGCGGGTATTTGTGCTCAGGCATGACTGCCTGCGGAGGTGGGAGGAGGCGGGGAGCGGGGATGAGCCAAGGTCTGAGCCTCTGCCCTGCGAGCCGAGCAGCCTCGCGCCGTGAAATATTTAGAGGCTGTTGCGAGAGGCTGTTAGATCTGACTGCTCGTGGGATTGCTTTTTTCCTTGACAAAAGCCTGGCGTCCACCTAAAGTTAAAGCTAATCTAAACAGTAGGGAAAAATAAACACACAGGATGTGAAAGGGGAACGATAGCCCGAGCACTAAAAAGGCAGGGAAGCGGGAATTGGTGGCTGCTGTTTTATTAGCTGCAGAGCACTAAAAACATCCTGCAAGAGGCAAAATTCGGTCTCTGGGCAGCAGCAGAGCCGGGGGGAGATGGCACAGAGGGTGACAGCGGTGCTCATTGTCCCCAAGCAATGCAGCCCCGCTCCTCACAGCCCAATTCATGCAAAGCCTCGCAGGAGCTGCCTCCACCCAACCTCTGCTCACCCAGGGACAGGACGACCAGGAAAGAAGAAAAAGAAAGACTTGGAGTTACGGTTGTTGTTGGAGGGTTTTATTTTCATTTTCAGATGTCTGGGGTTCTGTTGTAAAATGAATGAACTGCAAAGGAACTTAAATCTTTATGTTTGCAAGATTAACTTCTCATTTCTAGGCTGAAATACTTACGGCTCTCTCTAATACTCTTGGAAATATTCCGCATGTTTATTTTTTCCCCCCAGATGTTTATGTAACTTCCTCTGGAAGCCTTGCTTTTTTAGTTAATTAACTTTTTGTCCAGAAGTTTCTGCGCTTGGTCCCTTTGTTAACATCCCCGGAGCTGCTGGTTAGGACCGTGGCTGTGTCTGCGCTGAGCACCAAACGCACCCCATGGCAGGGGCTGGATGCAGCGGGAGGGAGAAGGAGGCACTTTTCTGCTGCCCGTGCCTTGGGCAGCTTGGTTTTCCTGCTCCAATGGGGACCTGAAGGCACGACAGCATGCATCGAGTCGATTTTGGGGTATGAAGACTTTTACACATTGGATGAGCCCACCACAAAATGCTATGCCCCAGGTCCCCCCTCCCGAAGCGCCCAGCTCCCTCCCCGCTGCCTGGTGCCTGTTCGCTGCAGTGTCACCTGAAGGCTTAATTAGGGTGCTGGTTGTTCCCTCGCCGAGATAATTAATTGGAGGTGTTAGATAAAGCCAGGCCCAACATCGGTCCTTGCTGGGGCTGCGCGGCGCCTTCCAGCTCAGATGTTATTGTTCCCTTTTGTTCCCGACCCTTCAGCCTGTTCTCAGCCACCGTGAAAAGGCTCATATCCAAACCAAGCTGAATTAATTTTTCAAGCAAGATACCACAAGACAGAGATACTATTAAAGGCTTTGCTAGGAATCAGGGTTCATTAGGATATATCCAGCTGCCGCTCCCTCCCTACAAATTCTGCCTCTCCGTGCACAGACAAAAAAAGCCAAACCAGTTGGAACTGGTGGGGCCGCGGGTTTTAAGCCGAAGGAGGTGCGGGGCTGCAGGGAAGCTGTTCCTGGGGAGGGTTTTGGAAGTGACCTTGTGCAGCAGCTCACCAACAAAGCCCTGTGGTGCCGGTCTATGGGGTGGCTTCTCCCTCCACCAGGTTTTCATCCCGGGCTGTGTTTCGGGGGCCGCAGTGGTGCCAGCCTCACATCCTCCGAGGGGCAGAGCTAATGTCTGCCCGAGCTGGTGTCTCTCTCTCTCTCCCTCACTGGAAAGGACACTGAGAGATGATCAAAGCAACCGAAGAGCTTTTGTAATTTCTCTTTTAAAAGGAATTTTATAAAGCCAGAAGAATCCGAAGCTTGTTATTTAAAAGGGGACCCTATCAGCAGCGGCGTTTTTTGCAATGAGTCAAGCTGGGAGCGTCCCCACTGACAGTCCCTGTGCCTTTATCATCACCCTAACACGAGGTTTTTAATGCAATTAGCGGGGGCAGTGGGACAGATGCAGTCCAGCACACAGCACCCTGCTTGCCCAAACCACCAGCCCTTTGCAGCCTGAGCAGGGGAGGAAGGACAGAGCCTGAGCAGGTCCGGGGCCGTCGCTTGCCTCTCCCTCCCCAGCAAGACACAATTTCCAGGGCTGAGCGAGGACACCTGGCCTGGCCTGATAGCTGGGGTGGGGAGAGAGTGGGGTATTGCAGCCTGTGTGCCCAGCCTGCTGCTGCTGCCAGAGAAAACACAAGGCCCATGCCATGCAGGGCATGGAGCTCCCGGGATGGAAAAGCACCTCAGCAGTGCTGGTGTTGAATGCCAAACCTCCTGTTTTTTCCCCACTTTCTGTCCCCAGAGCTCCTGCTCATCCAATGCACCCGCTGTCCCCCAGGGAGGAGCAGTGGAAGCAGGAGAGGTCCCAGCACCGCGCGGGGTGATGGCACAGGAGGGCCCTGCTCCTGACATTCTCCTCCGAGCACGGCCTGTTAGTTCTGGGGATTTGGGTTTCCATTAGTGCCCATTTGGTGGCCTTTCTCCTTTACACTGGCATTTCCACGGCTGCTTAGCTTCAGTGCATTTCATTAGCACAGAGGTTTCTGTTGATATTAGAAAGTCACTGTAATCATCAGAGGGATTTCCACGGCTGTTAGGCCAGGAGCTTCGCTGCTCGTCTGCGTTTTTGGAAGCGTTTTTTTGTAGAAGTGCCTTCGACGTGCACCCTGTTGGCAGGGACTTCAGAGCCCTGCAGTCCCCAAAGGGTGCTGCAACACGGCTCTGGCAGAGCAGAGGCAGCGGTGGAGATGCCAGCCCCAGCTGGGAGCTGCCAATGCCCATCGGGATGCCCATGCCCCTCAAGATGCCCATGCCCATCGGGATGCCCATGCCCATCGGGACCTGTCCAAGCCCATCGGGATGCCCATGCCCACTGGGATCCCCATGCCCACCATCCCCACGGCACCCCTCCAGCAAGCACTGTTGCCACATCCCTGCCACGGGGCACGCAGCATGCAGACCCATCGCTGCCACCCATCTCCTCCTCTCGGCATCCATTTATTCCTCATCCCTGCTCGCCCTTTGCTGGCATTTCACAAGCAGCAGGGACAGCGGAGGCAGCTGTGGAGATGGCCGCCCGCCTCTTCCCACTTCCCCGGCGCTCTTCGGGGCCGGCGAGCCTTCCGCGGACAGTGCAGCTCTGTTTTGCATCACCGCTTTGAAAAGCCCTTGGAGAGAGCAGTGATTTATGAGAGGTTTCTTGTACGAGGGGAAATAAACCTCTGACCAGACCCGACTGAAATCCACACTGCTTAATTTTCTGTGGAATCAGGATTTTACCCCTATCTGAGGATTTTGCTTCTTTCCAAGAAAAACAAGCGGTGCCGCTCTCACAGGCAGCCACTTTCTCTCCGGGTCCAGCAGTGGGGCTGGCCGGGCACGGCTTCCTCCCGCAGCCCCACGCTCTGCTCCCCACTCCTTCACCGCCCCCGATCCCAGCCCTGCGGGTCACAAATCACCGCGTTTCCTACCGGCGCCGAAGCGAGAACATCTGCTGGGAAAGTCAACAGTAATTAATTAGCTTTTAACTTGGAGATAGAGAAGTGGGAAAGAGGCACGGACCCCTGTAATGAGAATAAAAGGTGTCCAAGCTTGGAGGAGTGCAGAAGCACCCTGGTTACTTTGTAATATGATAAGGGGCTGGGAATTTGAACCAGAAATGGCAGGGTTTGGGAGGGCATTTCGGACACTGGAGCAATGTCCTGTGGTGGTGGTGAAGCCTAGGAGGGAGCTGGAGCTGCAGAGCTGTGGTTCCTGCGGTTCCCCCTGACAGCTGCAGAGGGGTTCAAGGTGGGAGCAAGAACAAACGAGCCCCCCCCATCCCCAGGTGTGCCCAGGCAGGGTGCTGAGCCAGGTGGTGCTGGGGTGGGATGGGAGGTGATAAAAAGTAGGGAGGGAGAGCTGCTAGAGGAGAAAGGTGGTGGCACCAGGGTTGGTGTTGTAGAAGGTCTGGGACATCTGGGACAGGCCAGTCCCCACCAGAGCAGGTTGGTTATGAAGGTGTTGCACTGGGGGCTGGGGGTGGCTCGGCTGCAGGTAAAGCAATGGTGTACAGTGGAAGAAGAGCACTCACAGCCCTAGGGAAAAGAGGGGGGGCTGCTTATGGGAGGAAAAAAAAAATTACTGACAGCAGCTGTAGGTGTATAATTACAATTATGATATGTTAAGTGTTAGTGCGTGTACCCTCTGCAAATGGATGGCACCAAAGCTGTGAGGGAAAGGCTGGTGCAGGAAGAAACTCAGTTAATTAGTTAATCAGGGCTCTTTAGGAAATGTTTCCTCAACTCGCTCTTTCTCTCCCCCTCTATTTCTGTAACTAACAATTTGGCTGTTGCTCCTCCTCCAAGTGAGATCCCACCCCGAGCCTGTGCACGGGCTGCCTCTGAGCAAAAAGGGGGGTGAATAAAAACCTCTGCTGTGGAGAGGAGCTCACCTGGCAGACACTGACTTCTTCAAAAAGCCCGATTTTTTCTGAGATGTGTGAAACTGAACCGGGGGAGTCCCCTCTGTGTGTTTAAACCCTCACCCCACCTGCCGGGGTCTGTGCCTGGGGGGGATGCGAACTCCTGAGCCCCCCGTGCTGCCCGCTGCACCAGCCCTGCCAGGGAAGCAGAGGGAGAGCATTACCCGGCTTTGCACAGGGGAAATGATATAATTGGAGCTGTTTGGATTTAGAAATTAAAATAATTTGGGTTTGCTCGGGAAGGTTCACACAACGTCAGCTTCCATCAGGCGGATGAGAAGCAGCAGTGCCCCGGCGGTGCGGGCTCTGACAGCTCTCCCAAATAACACCCGCCCTGCGGGGCTCCTTTCTGTTTCCCTGTGCTGTCGGGGGCTGGCAGCTCCCTCCCACGCAGGACAAATGTCTGTGCCCTTTCCCAGAGCATCCCTATGGCACGGGGTGGCCGAGGTGTAAGGCATCGCCCTGGCTGGCCCCTGCTGCCTGGGGCTCTAGCTTGCTCCTGGTCCCCAGAACCACCCTTTCTGCCCCAAAACCTCTGGGTGGGACAGCGAGTGATGTTCTCATGCTTGCAAATTGCCCAGCAAACCCCGCATCCCGATGTGGCTGCGGGCCCTGATACCTCTTGGGGTGCTGGGAGCACAGGGCAGGTGCACAGAAATCCCATCCAAACCATGGCTTGGGGCTGCCCCTGGGCTGTCCTGAGCCTCAGCTCCCCCCCATTACCCTGCTGCTGCTTAGGGCGCCTCCCTCAAGCCCCCTTTTCAGCTGTTTTCCTGCTTCCCTCCATGTTTCAGAACTTCCTGGCTCCTTTTGCATCACTTCTGGTCTCAGCGTGACCTAAATTCAGCATCATCTGTAAATGCAATTACTTTGCCATTTATCTTTGTGGTCATTAATGCTCATCAGGACCAGGCCTAGTGCAGGCTCCTGAGACTGCCGGGCGGGCTCCACGGCAATTTAATTCCTCCAGGAAAGCTCCCCGAGGCTCAGGGTGAAATGCTGCTGGGTTTTGCCTGTCCCTCCTGCAGCAGTGCCCTCCAAGTACCTGTCAGTCTGACCACCGTGGTTCACCCTTAACAAATTCTTTTTCTTCATCACTTGTGGCTCTGCTCTCCTCCAGGAGCGAGCAAATGGCCTTTTCCTTAATCCCTGATTTTTGTGTCGTTCCGTGCCTGGTGGATGAAATTAATTTCCTGGCTACTAATTGTCATTCTCCTTTTTCAGTCTCACCTTTTTTCCTTCTAATTTCGCTTTGTATTTATTTCCTTCCCCGCCAGTCCCCCCCGAGCCCTCTATTGATTTGTTACGCCAGCTCTGAATCTGGCCGGCTGCGATTTTGTGTTGTTGATGGTGGTGGGTTTTTAAGTGGCGGAGGCTCACCAAGTTTGTTAGCGAATTCCCTTAATAATTCAAAACGCATGTTGCTCGCCCCGGCTGATTTGTGTACGTTCGGTTTGTCAAGCGTTCCCCTACGTGCTTTTTATCAGTAAGTGTATTTACAAGGTCTTCATTACTTCCTAATTGACCGTGCCTCTTCTCTTTAGTTATCGCCTTAAAGAGTAATTTAAAGAAGCAATTCAGCAACAGCCATTTTAAAGCTCTTCATTCCTCCCAGCCCCTTTCTCATTTATTATCATCCTTCTGTCTCGCTAGCGCTCCTTTTCCCTGACGTCTTTGAAAATCCTTTCGTATTCCCCGTAACGTTTTATCGGCGCTCCTTTGCCACCCTTCAGCTGCTGCCAGCCCCGGCCTGCCCGAGGATGCTCTCTTTGGCAGCGGGGCTTCTTCCCCCGGGGGTGGGAAATAATGCTGTGCTGTGCCCCCTGTGGAGCCCTGTCCCAAGGGGGATGCTCCCCCAAAAACAGCTGCATCGTCCCTTTTGTCCCTTAGTCCTGTAAAGTGCTTGGCTCCGGCAATTCCTCCCCTCTGCCTGCTCCCAGCTCAGTCGCACCCTGTGCGAAAATCACAGTATTTAATCAGTGGCTTTGGGGTTTAATTCCCTGTCTGTGCATGGGTGTGCAAGGTGACAGAGCCTTCTCTCTCCCATCTTTTGGCCCCCCTTGCAGCCCAGCCCCATCTCTGGCTGCGTCGCTTCTTGGTTCCAGGCTGGGCACTGGAGCTAAGCAAGCATCCCCGTGATTTATTCACGTGTCCGCAGGCTTTAAGGCCAGAAGAAATGAGGAGATCGCTTAGCCTGACCTCCTGCACATTACAGGCCATTAAACTTCATCCGGTTATCCCCGCGTTGAGCTCCGTAATTTGTTTGGCTGAAGCCTATCTTTGGGAGAGGCACCAGGCCCCGATGTGAGGACAGGTTTATACCGCAGCATTTTCTGTCCTGCCCTTTGTGTAGCCTGTGGTGTTTGGGTTGGGCTCTAAAAGCTGCTGCACAGTGTACAGATACATCTGTGGGTATATCTGCAGTGATGCTCAGGGATTTTCCTCCTCACCTCATTTTTTGCTTCATTCCAGCCGTTTCTGGTGCACGAATAGCCCGAAATGTCCCCAGGACAGGCCGTGGTTAACCAGTGCTTGCACCACACCGTGACTTGGCCAGGCGAGAGCTCGCTGCCCTGTGTCAACCACCGAAAACAGCTCTGAAAACTTTTATCACTTTGCTCGGAAGAGAGGGAAACAGCTCTGGTTTTGGTGGAGATCTCGGGGCGCCCCATGGTTTAATGTTTTCCTTCTCCTTCCTCTTTGAAAACCGGTCTTTTTTCCCTGTGTTTTGTCTTCTGTGGCTTATGTTGCTTGACATGTCGGCTGGTTTTGATCTTTTTCTCTTTCTGCATTACAAAATTGTCAGCTGTGTAACCTAGAAACGGAGCTGGCTGAATGATATGTTTGCAAATAATATTTGTTAGAAGTTTTTTTTCTCTCTTTCATTAATCATGCCTGCCCCAAACCTGATTTGGGGGGGATGTGCTCGTAAGGAGGAGCGTGTGTCCCACGCCGTGCAGCAGGCCAGCTGGGGAAACCAGGCTTTGCTTTACCTCTTATTTTCTCTGGGATCTGGTGTGAGTCTCATCATTATCCTCCAACACACCCCCGCCTTACCAAGCCATGTGCAAGGGTTTCTCTCTCCCTTTTTCTCGAATTTTAAATTGGAGGGCCGTGGGATCGCAGGGCCGTGGACACCTCACCTCTGGGGCATAGAGGTGCTGCTCCCACTGGAAAGACGTGTGGCAGGTTTCTTCTGTGGGTCATTAATGACAATTATGGCTTGTGTGAGCAGAGCCCATCCCTTAAAATGGTGTTTGGGAGCTTTTATTGTTCCATGCAAGGCCAGGCACTTCTTTCTGCACTCCTGCTGGTGCTGCTTCACAGAGCAGACACTCCCTGCAGCTTCTCCTTTGGGTTTTCCTTCCTCATCCCCGCTTTTCCCCAGACACCTTTGCTGCCAGTTTTGCTGTTTTGAGGCCAGTGTATGCTCTGCAACCTGCCCCGTGCTCCCAGGCTGCTCCTGTCCATCTCCCCTCTCCTCCCAGCAGCATCTTGCTGCAGATCTGCCTCCTGGATTGGGGTGCGACCCTGGCTAGCAGCTAGATAGGCGATGGCAGCACTTTTGTCCTTCACCCTTAGGCAGTTCCTCTCCTCTTGCAGCTCACCACCATCCTGTGCCTTGTGCTAGGTATGCAGTCCCAGGTGTTTCTGCCAAAGCTGGAGTACCTCCATGTCCATCCTCATTTAATTTAAGCACTGACAAATTCTCCCAGCCACGGTGTTCATCCATCTCTTAAGCTGTCTGATTCATGCAGCCACTTCACAACTCTCCTGGCTGTGCAGTTAATGTGTCCCTGGGCTGGCTGAGCTTCAGAGCTGGCTGGTTTTATTTATTTTTCTTGCAGCTGGCCCTAGTTTTCCAGGCAGGCATCCACCTGCGCCCTGCTGTCTGCTCCCTCCTGCTGGCTTGGGCCAGCCCCTCCATTAGGTGGCCAGTCCCAAACCTCAAGTAGCATTTCTAGGACTTGGACGCACCATGGGCAACGCTGGTGTTGGGGACCAGCCAGGCTGAGCTGTGGCATGGCTCAGGGCATGGCTCCTTGCTGGTGCTTCTCCATCAGGGTCTCAACTTGTGTGTCCTGGACCCACCACAGGGCAATCAGTGCTGTGCAGGGCGGTGTGGTTCCCTTCTTCGGCTCTGCGCTCCCTCGAGTCCGCCCACGTGGATGCAAAGCAGCTCAGCCGTGCTCCCCGGGGCACTTCAGGGGAAAAAAGTTCCCAAAGAGCTCTGCCCTGCTCTGTGTCCGCCTGTCCTGGCTGCGTGGGCTCACGTCTCTGTCGACACTTCATGCTTCAAGTGCTCACCCTTCACTTGTTGGAGCCTGTTAATCTTGGCAATTAGCTCTTGCTCTGCTGCAATTTTTCAGGCACGCTCTCCCTTTCCCAAATCCCTCTAAGACCCCCTTGGAGCGTGTTCCTGTGCTGCTACAGCTGCTTGGCTCCATACCACCCTCCCCACCAGAGCCCAGGCACCTCAGGGAAGCCAGCCATTTATCGAGGTGTTACGTGCACTCAGATGCC